TATTTTTAAGAGAATGACAATGAGAGAGTGAGAGAGAGACAGAGAGATAGATAGATAGATAGATAGATAGATAGATAGATAGATAGATAGATAGAGAGAGAGAGAGAGAGAGAGAGAGAGAGAAAGAGGGAGATGGGTGTGGGGAGGGGGGATGCTTAAAAGTACAGCCAAAGTCTGATGGAACCTATAAATTCAGCCTCAGACACTTTGTACTCTCGAGATGTTTGTAAAAGAGGACGGGGAGACGGGTTTTTTGTTCATGTCACAACAGTTTATAAATCACTGAGAGCCTTTTCAACCTTTTCCCTTCCTCCCACAGCAGGGGTGCTGAGCGCACTATTTGTAAACACGAACCACCTTACACCGCCATAATTACCCATGAGGCCCCCAATCTGGACCCCCGGTCCAAGAATCCGCAAAATTCCAGAGGAATTTAACGCCATCTGCAACGTCAGCTAAAATACTGCCTCTCTCGGGCACTTCGGCATGCGATTCTTGCCCCAAACTTAGGCCTACCCTTGTCTTTCCTGGTGCAGAATACGCGCACCTAAGACATGTGGGCGATGAGGGTGCATCTTGTCGCATCATCCATCCCAACTCTCAAGATACATTTTGCGGGATTGAAGTCCTGTTTTTTTTTCCCCTTCTTTTTCCCACGTCATGGCTCTCTGATCTGCTTCAGACGTTGAACTTGCTTTTGAGGGTTCTTTTTTTTTGTTCGTATCGTAAGCCTATGGGATGCACTTAGAGCTTGATTTATATTTGAAGAGGTTAAAAATCCTATTAGCACATGGGGCCGCTGTGGGGCCAAATTGTTAAGAAAAAATGAGGCGTTAAGTCTTATATTAAACTTACTTAGGCTTCTTGAATTGAATTTCATGAGAGGAAAAAATATTAAAAGTTAGTAAAGACTCGTGCACTCTTTGTGGGGCTGTGTAGAGTGCAAGGCTTTGATCTATAGCTTGAACGTTTAAAAGTTGACCCGACTGAAGATATTTGAAAGTTATGGCACCAGACATTTCAATACAATATTTCCCCTACCATAAAAAGAATACATGGTTAAATAAAGAGAGAGAGAGAGAGAGAGAGAGAGAGAGAGAGAGAGA